TGAGTGTGTTGGGGCTGCAGAGCCAGGCAGGACCGGGGCAATGGGAGGTGGGCAGCCTCTGGGCACTCCAGTAGCCCCCACACCAGCACCCCTCATCCCAGACTCCCTCCAGTCTCCCATAGACACAGCCTCAAGCAAGGGCTCCTCTTTTCCACCAGAGATTTACACCATCCAGGGCAACTCGCATGGGAAGCCCTGCACCATCCCCTTCAAGTACGACAACCAGTGGTTTCACGAGTGCACCAGCACGGGGCGGGAGGATGGTCATCTCTGGTGTGCCACCACCCAGGACTATGGCAAGGACGAGCGATGGGGCTTCTGCCCCATAAAGAGTAAGTGTCGGGGATGCACCCAATGGGGAAAAGCAGAAACCTGGTGCTCATCCCTCCTGGGAGCTTTCCTGCCTCTCCCCTTCCCTCCGGCCTCATCCCTCCTCCTGCGAGCAGCCTGCAGTGCTGGAGCAGCGTGGGTTTTGGGGGTTTAGTGGGTTACTGGGCTGTTTTGAGCCGTGGCTGGGACTCTGTTGGGTGCTCACCTTGCTCGGCCCCGCAGGCAATGACTGTGAGACGTTTTGGGACAAGGACCACCTCACCAACAGCTGCTACCAGTTCAACTTCCAGTCCACGCTGTCGTGGAGGGAGGCCTGGAATAGCTGCGAGCAGCAAGGGGCCAACCTGCTGAGCATCACCGAGATCCACGAGCAGACCTACATCAACGGTGAGGCAACGGCAGCCTGGCCACACGCTCGTCTTCATGTGGGTGCCAGGTTGCTCTGCCTGTCCTGGGTGGTTGGTTTGGGGATGGTGACAGGCTGGGGGGTTGAGCTGGGGCTGGGGGCACTGATCCTGCCCCTCTCTGGCTGTGTTGGCCCCAGGGCTGCTGACCGGGTACAGCTCCACGCTCTGGATTGGGCTCAATGACCTGGACATCAACGGAGGCTGGCAGTGGTCAGACAACTCGCCCCTCAAGTACCTCAACTGGGAGAGTGGTGAGATAAAGGGGTTATAGTGGTAATGGGGGGCTGGGGAATAGCCTGTGACCACTGGAGATGGCCCCATGCCTGGGAACAGAGAACCCCATGGGGCTGTGGAGCCGACTGGAGCACCCACAGAACTAGAGGGGGGACACAAGGAGCTGGAGTGGGAATTGTCCCTCTGCAAGCACCTGGGCAGCCTGGAGCACCCACAGAACTAGAGGGGGGACACAAGGAGCTGGAGTGGGAATTGTCCCTCTGCAAGCACCTGGTGGTCCTGTGGATAACCTGGGCTGAGCTTCCTTGTTTGGAGAGTCATAGAATCATATCTCAGAATGGTTTGGGTTGGAAAGGACCTTAAAGCTCCTCCAGCTCCAAC